TACGCTTCTATCAGTCTGTAATTCCCCAGATCTCTCAAAATCAGTGTTGCAGTAGCCCCCTTTCAGTCTCCTGGTATTAAGGCAGTTTTAAATGAATGTTACACGTTCCATTTATTTCAAGTATTTCTGCCTTGAGTCCTTTAGGGCTTTTGGGTAAGACCATCCAGTTCCTGTGATTTGTTACTCTTTATTTTGTCTGTTGGACATATGACCAACATATGGGTCATGTGGGTCCCCACATTCTGTTGGGACTCCAGTTTGAGCCAGTTCTCTGAACTCAGAAAAGAGTTCTGGCTTGAAAATCTCCCTAAGCTCTTCTCCAGTAAATGCAGAAGCAAAGCATTCATTTTGATTTTCTTCTTAGGATCTCCTTTTTATTTTTATTTTTAATTTTTATTATCCTGATAGCTTCTTTTATTCTCTGATTGTCTTTAGGGCAGTCTGAACGGCTTCCTCATGTGGTTGAAAAAGGATTACTCTTCTGTGCCTTACCAAACCACTCCTCATATGTTTGTCTTTGACTTGCCAGCTTGAGTTTTTACCACTTGCCCACCAGAACTTGATTTTGTTTTCCTTTCAGAGACCACCTTGCTTTTAATAGCTTTTTTCCTTCTGCCTCATTTTAAATGAGTAGGCTTCCCTTTTCCCATTCTCAAATGTGCCTTGAGCCTCCAGCTTTTAATTTTTTCGTGTCCGCAGCACTTGCAGAGGTGTAATTCTTTTTAGCTGTCCCATCAGTCGTCTTTTTTTAACATACTTCCTTGTTTTTTTATGTATTTCCTCTTTCAAAATCAAACACAATTTTTGATAAATTTTCTTGGCTTTTGTGCGGATTAAACTTCCCTGCAAGTTTAATCTAGCTAAGCTGTGGCTGCCATTTCAGAGTAACATATTGAACCATGTCTTGCAGCACTACCCAGTGCAAAGTTGATGGTTCTTTTTTCCCCTTTGGAATGAGCTGCTCCGTGTGCGGCCATTGACTGTCTCAGGTTTGTTCTCAGCTTTGTGCATAATGTAAGGTTTGCCCATTGCGTGTGGGTGGTAATTGAAGACTCCTGTTACTGTTATGTTTCTTGCCTTTGTAGCTTCTCCAGTTCCCCCAGTATCAGTCAGTGTTGCTCTTCTGGTCAGGCCAGTAATAACGATACTGTTGCTATTACTTGAGCCTTGAGTTTTAGTCGACAAGGATTCTGTGTTTTTTATCAATATGGTTAAATTGTTAACCTGATTTGATTTTTTTTTTTTTTTTTTTAAGCTCTCCCTTAATTTGTCACCAGTACTGGCTGTACTGTGTCTTTCCTGACACTAGTGTTCTCTCCTTGCCTCCTTTCTGCAGTGTCTGGTATGCCGGTCATGTAATCTCCTGACTTAGTGTTAGGCATTCCACATTCTAGTGTAATTTCTTAACTTCTAAGTGTGTCGAAGCCTGTGTACTACTGTTTGGGTCTTGTCCTCTTTTTTTTTTTTTTTTAAACCCTCCCAAGCAGTTTCTTCTGTCTGTTCTTCAGTTCCTGTTTGTTTGTTGCCCTGCTCTATCTCATGATTCAGTCAAGAATACCCAAGTTCCTGTTTGTAGTAGCCCCAAGGAGCAAAATCTCTGACAGATGAGCTCTCCTTGACGTCATTTCCCAGAGTTTCTTTTGCTGGAGAATGTGGTGCATCATTTCAAGTTTCCCTGTGTACTTGATCTGAAGATGGGGACCAGACAGCATGGAGATGATGCCTCTGAGGAAAAGGCTGCTCGGCAGATGAAGAAGTGTGAGCAGAGCACTTCCGCCACCTTGGGTGTGCGTGTGTGTGGGATGCAGGTAGGGATCCTCATGGGTCTATGTGCTGCATGTTCCTTTTCTCAGCCCTATTAGAGGTTCTAGTAAAGCGTTTTCTGCTGAGCATGAATTACCTGAAGTGGGAAGACTCATGTAAGTACACCAGTGTTCATGGCACATGCTTTTTGTATTCATTTCTAAGCCTACAATAAAGGGAGTGCCTGCTTTTATCCAAAGCAGTTTTCTACACTGAGAATTTTGGGCTTTGCAAATAAAATCTAGCAAGCCTGTGTTTTTGTGGCTTAGTGTTTAGCTAGAATAGCAATGTTCAGCAAGCGGGGATGGAGGGGAGTGTTTCAGTTTCAGCAGCATCTGACACTTGCTTCTGTACTGTATTTGGGAGTCTACAGGTGGTTCTTCTCTTGTGGTTAGTCCATGAACAGAAGTATTTTCCTCTAGTGCTGTTGTAGAATACAGTTGCTTCTTTCCCCACCTGCAGAAGCATTTTGTAATGCAGATCCCTGCCCACAGGCTCTGAAGCAATCAGGGCCTCTCATTAACATATGTCACATGATAACAATAATACATATAGGCAGCCCTCACTACTGAAGAATTATCTGAGTTGGCTTCTTGAGCCTCAGGGCCGGTCGTGTCATACTACTTCTTGGGGACACTCAGACTGATGAGCTGCCCTTTGGACCCTCTGGGTGGGAAGCAGTTCTTGGACACCTTGGTTGTAGCAAACAGCATGCCCATGGGATGCACCCATAAGGTGCTCTGGGATTCAAGGAACAGGCAAAGCTATTTCCTGCTCACTCTTGGGAGTGGTGATGATGTAACAAGTTCCCTCTGACCTATCGGTAGATGACAGCTCTAGGTTATCTGTATACTGCCTTAACCTGTCCTTCCTACTTGATGTGTATTTCCTTTGGTGTTCTAGGTCTATCAGCTGGACACAGGGCACTACTTATGCAGGAATAAATACTATGGACGCGGTCTTTCCATCGAGGGCTTCCGCAATGCCCTCTACCAGTATCTCCACAATGGCCTGGAGCTGCGCAAGGACCTCTTTGAGCCTGTCCTCACCAAACTCCGAAGTCTGAAGGCAGTTTTGGAGAGACAGGCCTCCTACCGCTTCTACTCCAGCTCCCTTCTCATCATTTACGATGGGAAGGACAGCAGGGCAGGGATGCGCCTGAAGCAGGTAGACAGTTCTCTCCCTGAGAGCCTTCAGGATGGCAGTGGCACAGAGCCCAGCTCCTCCGCCCAGCCCAAGGTGGATGTGCGTATGATTGACTTTGCACATAGCACGTTCAAAGGCTTTCGTGATGACCCCACTGTGCATGACGGACCTGATGTGGGTTATGTATTTGGGCTGGAAAGCCTCATCAACATCATGGAACAGATGCGCGAGGAAAACCAGTGACCCTGGGCTACGGCCTCTCATTCTTGTCCTGGTGGCAGGAGCAAATAAGACCACCTACTACCACAGGAAAAAGCAGACTACTTTGGTTTTAAACAATTGTATTGCTCCATTGTTTTTAAATGTACTTGGATAGAGCTAAGGGGAGGCAGGACGGAAGAGCTCCTCGTGTCTACCAGATGGCTTTGACTGCACTTGCTCCGCCTTCTGGCGGAGACTCCATAGATACCTGCTGGGCATTGGGCGTCTTGGGGCATCACTCATCGCGTGTGCGTTCTGGAGGGAGGATCTGGACATAGGAAAGAGAAAGCAGGAGAGAGCAGGGCTCTTCAGGGGGCCGGAGAGGGCTGAAGCTCTGGCCTGGGGAGCCTCTTGTCTCAGGAGCCCCCAGGAGAGCCTTTAGCTTGAAACTCTCCTGGATGATTTGCAAAGGGTGCTTGAGTAAAAGTCAGCAACACCTGCGGGGCTGACAGTGAGCAGTACACTTGTGTTGGTCTGTGTGCTGGGAGCATTTGGTGTTGCTAGCTCTGCTGTGGGTATTGCCAACCAGGAGCTTTGTTTCTGGTGTTGCCTTTTTCTTACGTTTGGGCACTGTGAATAATCAACTCAAACGTGGAAATAAAATGACCAAATGCAACCTGTGGCAGAGCTGTGGCAGGGAGGAAGTGCCACGTGCTTTGAGTTGCGCTTGAGCCCGGTGCCTGTTCGCCTCCCCTTCCATCTTGCGCTACTCCGGTGGACGGGGTGGCATGGGCAGGCCTGCATACAGGCAAGCACAGAGGCTCTGCAAGAGTAACTGCCTTGGACCACTGACCAAGCAAGAACTCAGCTCATGGGCTAGCAATAGTATCTGTAGCAAGTTAATGCGACCCCAGCTGTGCAGTGGGGCGTTCTGGACCATTTCAGTCTTTCCCTTTGTGTAATGTTGGTCCTGCAGATTGTAGGCAAGTATCTCCCTAGCAACACAGAGCCCAGGTACTACAGTGGAGACTCTTTTTCCTGGAGCTGGACCCTCTGCCATACAGCCTCTGCTCTTCTGACAAGTCCTTGCCCGGGGATGGTGAAAGAGAAGGCTGAGGGTTAGGGCTGAACCCCTGTTCTTGCCTCTGAGGTTGTCCAGTGGGGTGGGTAAGCAAGAGGGACCTTGGCTGAGTGGTGGTTGTCGTCTCTTGACTGGCTTGAGCTTTGCTGAAGTCGGTCTTTCCCCAAATAATCCCTTTTGTGGATGGAAGAGCAAACCAGCTGGGACATGAATTGCTGCCTGGCCTAGCTCCTGTAGCCGGTGCTTTACTCATCAGCCTCCCTTGATGAGGGCATTAATGATTGATACCCTGGCCTGGTTGTCCTGAGGTTAGCTGTGCCCAGGTCTGCATCACCTAAGTGTGTTTCTGTGCTGGTACTCCCTCATTGCTTCTTCTGTGGTGTCATTCTGACTTGTTCCATGACATTACAGCAACTGGCTAAGCAGCTCTTTACCTAGGTATCTGCAAGGCCAGGATTCTTTCATTCAGGAAAACGTCTTCTGGGGAATACTTGCCCTGCATGTAGCATGTGTACAGGCTTTGTGTATGGGCAGTCTGCTTGGAAAGTGTTTGTGCTCAAGGCACCAGCAGCTGTAACTGTTGGAGCAGGTGGAGGTGTGAGGCACTGGATGTGGAAGGGGGCTGGGGAAGTGCTAGGTTTTGTCCTAAAACGTACCTCTCTGCCTGTCTCCTGGCTGCATGAGAGCTGCTGGTCCCCTCCAGCCTTCTGGATGAGGATGCTCGTTCACACCACTCTTCCCTTTGGGTTACTTCTTCATCACTTCTGTGAGTAGCTGCATGGCAAGGCCGAGCTCCTGTGATTTTTCAGGAAAAAGGTTTGCAAGAGGGAGTGAAGTTGTTCAAGCAGCTGGAATGAAAGATGCCTCTAGAAAAGCCACATTAACATCCTTGGCTCTGCCTGACCTTAGTGCAGCGAGAGGGCGGTTTCATGCATTGCAACCATCTGTGTTAATGTCCTCACTTCCTGTGGGTTTTGTTCTGGGAAAAGGCATAGTGACCAGGGCATTGCCTCCTGAGGGAACATCTCCACGTAGTACAAATACTGATTCTTAGCATTCCCTTTTGCCACTCATTGCAGTCATGTTTTCTCCTTTTGTTAAGGCTCACTCCTTCGTGGCAGTCCTAGCACTGAAAGTGTAACTGTGCTCTTTCCTTTGGCTTCTGGGTGCGTGGTATATCTTGGGTTTAGTCCAGTGTCACACACACACCCCCCTTCCCCCGCCCATCCCTGCATGTTCTCCATGTTCAGACTGAAGAAGCTGGGCTGGACTGTAAGGGAGCATGTGTTTTCAGGGTGCAGGCATCTTTGCTAGTAGTGAGGTGTGAAGGGACACAGCATGCTTCCTGCGCTCCTTTGGAGCGGCCTTTCAAATTCCCTTTGGACCATTGAGATGAGAGTTCCACAGCTTGTAAATAGCTTTGAAAACAGTTTGTTTTTACATGAATAATCACCCTGTTTGTGTTTCACGGAGAACCAAAAAAAAATTAAAGGATCTGTTTTTGTCCATGTTGTGGCATTACTGCATTTCCACGTGGTGTGATCATAAAGCACAGCCTCCTTTGGTAGCAGTAAGTCCTCCAGGCAAGAGGACGTGCTTGAATGGGCTTTAGGCCTTGCCTTCCACATTGTCTTGAGAGGTCTTGGGCTGGATGGCAGATCTGTGGATGTTTTAAACTTCTTAGGTGCTTGTGTGCGTTGATCTGGTTTAGAGTACGGTTACCTGTTTTGCTTACCTACAATCAGGAATCACAGTCATTTCACTCCTCCTTGGTTGGGCAAGAGAAGCTGGAATAGTGCATAGCCTCTCCTCAGCTGGGAAGAGCTGAGGAGAGCAATGGTAACAGCGTTACGGAAAGGGGTGAGTCCATCTCTTTTCCTTGGCCTTGAGCAGCCATGGAGCTGGTGGTACAGCCCACCTCTAGGTGAGAAATGGCCATTTAGCACGGCTGGGCCAACCACTCTTCTGCAATAAAGCACAGATGAACTGGTGCCTTTTAGTGTCGCTTGGAAATGCTGAATTCCAGCTGTGAGGGGCTGGGGACAAATGTAGGTTGGCACCCACCAAAGCCCTGTACTGGATCTGTTGAGCAGAAACTCTCTGGGGATGTGGGGGTGGTGATGCGTCTGTTCCAGTGCAGCGGTTGTCCTTAGTTTTGCTGCAGTTCTCCCTTTTCCCTAAAATAAGATTCATGGATCACCAACATTTGTGCAGCCCCTTTTGTCTTTTCATGTCTGGCAGAGCTGTGCCAGGGCCAAGTCCTGTCTGGGCTGCGAGGGTTGGCTCTGGGGCGAGTGCTGCTCGCTGGCCTGGGGGAAGCCGACATGCTCAGGAATTGTATCCTTAGGTGTGGCTAAGGTTTTATAAATATCTGCTAAATATCTGTCTTCCTGCTGGGGACTGGGCACGAGAAGGCTCACATTCATCATTGGAAACCTCCATCCTTTTGGTGCAACCTCAGGTAAATCCTCTGGAGGGAGGTGGCTGCTCCTCTGTGCTGCTTGGTAGCACCTTCAGGTAACAAGGTGTGAGTGAGTGTGAAAACACGCCCACACCCACACTCCCCACACCCATCCCAACCCTACCCTACCTGAAAAAATTATACTACAGGAGGCTGTGCGTTGTAGGTGTGGAAGATACCTTGTCCTTCCCTGTGCCCCAAAGCAGGGGCTTTGCCCTGCCACTGAACTGGGCCTTTGCTTTCTGGGCTGGAACAGGGGGCTGCACTGGGCTAACGTTGCAGTGAGACGGGAGCGCAGGGCCTTAACACATAGAAAGCTGCAGGGGCACTTAAGCTGTACCCGCAGGGTAGCGCGCAGGGGGGGCATTGCCCCCCGGTGCCGGCCGGGCTTGGCTGGTGGCTCCCCCCTCCCCGGGGGCGGGGCTAGGGCGCCGCGGG